ACGTAATTCTTGGTAGAGGGCCAGCAAAGAAGAGAAAGACCTTCAGTGAGAGGGAGTAACACAGTGGCTGCAGCAAGGGGTTCAAACACAGCGACACTTGGAGGATGGCGCAGTGCAACGCAGCATCTTGCTGTACTGTACTAGGGTTGCTATGATTTGGAACTGACAGGATGTCACCGAGTAACGAAACCAATCAAGTAGAAATAAGGTGTGTAGTTCACAAAGTGTTGTCAGCAATTGAGTGTGCAGTGCCCTAAGGCTTGTCTTTACCAACACTTAAGCCTAGCTTTCTGACAACTTAGGTTACTCTCAATGACCATTGAAATTCAGTGTTTCTGACACTGTATACATCTATTAGAAATAAGCTTCTTTACTTCTGAGTATTTTGTCAATAAAAAGTCAGTTACTGATGATATTTGGTGGAGTACCCTTTCATATGCAGTTGGGTGTGACCTAATTCTAGAATCTTCTGCCTGAATAAAGTTTATCTAATAGATTAATTGGAGCCCCTGGTGGTAGTATAGTTGTTATGTGTTGGGCTGTGGTCCTCAAGATGCACAGTTTGAAACCTCCAGGTAATCTGCAGTAGAAAGATGCGGCATTCTGTTCCCATCGTTAGTCTCAGAAACTCGCAAGGGCAGCTCTACTCTGTCCTATAGGGCTGCTGTGAGCCAGCATCGCCTCGATGGCAGTGAGCTTTGCTGTTGCTGGAATAGATCGAGAGGAGCTCTGATGGCCTAATGGTTATGCCTTGGGCTGCTAACTGCAAGGTCAGAAATTCAAAACCGGAGGCTCCGTGGTAAAAAGATGAGGTTTTCTGCTCTTGGAAAGAGAGTCTCAGAAACTCACAGGGGCATGAATTATGTTGACTGTTTCATTTAGCAAAGGAATAGAATGGGGAACAGGAGTTTGTAACATCACAATTGCTATCAGGTAATTCTCATAATTAGCCAACTTTGAAAAACCAGAGTCTTTAATGTCTCAGTAAGTTTTTCATGTTGCTCTGGCCACAAGGAAATACCCCATTGTACATTTAGTAAATGAGCTGAAAACTTAATAGCTGTAGTTGCTAACATGGTCCAACAGATGTCACTGTGTTTCCCTCAAAAAGAATATCATGATGAGTACAGAAACCAAGACAGCATTCTAAAATCGATGGTGATGATTGTACAACTCTTCTTAATATGGTTGAACTATTGAATTGAATGATTTGTGAATTATATGCCAATAAAACTGTTTTTAAAATAGCTAAAGAAAAGTTAGAATATCCCACAGGGCCTCTCTGAGTTCCTGAGATATCTCAGGCACTTCGGAATGAAGATGTTTCTGACATAGCATGTAACTACTTTGTCCCAACAGGGTTTCCAGAGTAAGATTACACAATAAGTTGGGGCGTGTATTGAAAAATTATTCATCACTTTGTATGTCAGTTTTTGCAGTTTTCATATGGCTGTTGCTCACGTTCAGGGTTAAGAAAACACAATCAGTGAAGAGTCAAAGAGTAACAATTTTCAGATTTCTGCGCCATTTATGGTTTCTCTTGCATATCCTTTTTGTAATTTTTCTTTTAGGATACTTGACATGTAAAAGCCATTCAGGGACTTGGCAGACACCTGGTCCAATTAAGAACCTCGGAATACCGTTAAAGAACAATCCAGGGGTAATGATTCTTTAGGGCCAGAGGCTCTTAATGTTTTCATATCGGATTATACTACAGGAAAGTTTCTGCAAAAATATACCTTTGTAAGGAGTCACCCTGGAATTTTCTTGCCCTATCCTTGCTTTACAGAGAATTTCCAAATGTGTCCAGTTTAAGAAGCCTGGTGAAGTGTCTAAGAATGACCAGTTGTCATTTATTCGATTACTAAAATGGTCGCATTTTAACCAATAAGGCTAGAGTTGTTGCCATTGTTAGGTGCTCTTGAGTGGCTTGCAGCTCACAGAACCCTTATATGAGAGAGGGGAACTGGGCCATAGGGGTTTCTAGAGTGTGCTCCTTATGGGAACAAATAGCTATGCCTTTCTCCAGAACAGCCTCTGAACGGATTCAAACACCAACCTTTATGTTAGCAGCTTTACTACTGAGTCACGGGAGCTGTGAAACCAGTACCAGTTGTCTATCCTGACTCCTGGTGGCCTCATGTGTGTCCTCTGCTCCTTGGAGTTGTCGATGGCTGCGTTTTTGAAAAAAGATGGCCAGGCCTTCCTTTTGAGATGTTCCTTGGTCGACTGGGGAACCTCTCAATTTCCAAGCACGTTAGCCATGTGAACCACCTAGGTGGTGTTTCCCAAAGTGGGAGATACCAGCACCCTGGGGGGCTCTACCATGATGAGAGAGGCAAGAGGGCTGCAAAAGCAAATGCCTACACTTTATCCTGGATTATGGGCTAATATACAAATGCTTTTAATTGTCTGGGAAGTCACTAAGTTGTTTGTTGTTTTTCTTTTTATCTAGAAAGGGGGTGGGCAGGAGGTCAGATAGGTTTAGGAACCTCTCACCTAGGGCAAAGTGGTAAATATCACTGGTAACAGTGGTCTTGAGACAAATAAAGACATTTCTTGGGGAGATAATCAATTTTCGTGAAAAAAGGGATAAAAGTACTGGGTCCTTTCAAAAAGGTTCAATGTATGGGATTCTTCCAACTTATAATCTCTTTTTTTTTTTAAACAATCATTTTATTGGGGGCTCTTACAGCTCTTATATAACAACCCATACATCAATTGTATCAAGCATATTTGTACATGTTGCCATCACTACTTTATAAACATTTAGTTTCTATTTAAGCCCTTGTTATCAGCTCCTCATCCCCCCCCCATTTGATTTTTTTAAATCGTTTTATTAGGGGCTCATAGGACTCTTATCACAATCCATACATACATCAATTATGTAAAGCATATTTGTATATTCATTGCCCTCGTCACCAAATTATCTCTTACAATTTACCCCTACCCCAGAGATATTTGTCCATTGAAACTTTCAGTAACCTCTTCTATGTCATCATAATTACACACACCAAACTCCTTGCTATCAAGTTAATTTTCTCCTAGTGTCTTAAGGTGGTGTTGTGAGTTATGCGTTGGACGGCTAACTACAAGGTCAGTAGTTCAAAAACCACGGGTGCTCTTCAGAGGAAAGATGAGGCTTTCTAATTCTGTAAAGAGTGATAGTCCCAAAAGCTAGCAGGGCAGTTCTACCTGATCCTATAGCGTCACAGAAATGCTGACTCACAGCAACCCACTATGCTTTTCCCAGACTTTTTACGGCAGTAGAAAGCCATCTTTCTCCCGCGGAGATCCGCTGATGGTCTCAAACCGCTGACCATGCGGAGTGCAGGCCAACTTGTAAACTCAACCAACTAACGGGTATACAGACCTTTCGGCTGGCAGGCCAACGTATAGTACTGTACCACCAGGCATCCTTATGTGGTCATAAGCATCCTGCAATCATAACTGAGCATTGCATAACTAAGTCCACTTATGTGACATCTTAGTGGCTTTCATTTCTCTCAGCAGAGACTCTCATTTACCAAGGCCAGAGTGTCTGCTGAACTCACCCACCGTTCTGTCTCTACACAGACAAAAGCATGCCAATAAAGACTTGCGAATGAAAGGACGCAATTTAGAATCAGAATCATCCGACCTAAAGCGATCTATGTTTAATGACCAGTCGACTTAGATTTTAGTTCCAGAGCTACCATGAATTGGGGCAGGAGAAGCTGGGATTTAAACTTTCAAAGTGGGTTCCTTTTTCTATATAACTAGTGCATTTTCACCTATCACTCTGTCACGGAGGGGTGGGATGCTGCTAGATCACGTGGGAAGCAGCATGTTAATTCGCTTTGCAAATAGAAGGTACGTTGCAGACACCTGTCTGGCCCAGGGCAGCCAGACAGTGACGTCCACGTCACCCCGTTATATAAGGGACCCGCCCGTCTAGAGTCCGTTGGAATCCCTGACCCTGCGTCACACGGCCCCCGCCCGGCGGGCGGGGAACGGCAACTCCACGGAAACGCCGCAGGGTGTGTCCTGCCCCAGGCGAGACGCCGGCTCTCGAAGCCGCCCCTGACCGCCACGGCTCCACCCGCGGGGGCCCGGAAGCCCCACCCGACCTCGCGGGCCGGCGGCTCCGGCTCCGTAGAACGTGACCTTGTTTTGGCGTTGCTAGGAGACCGGCTCCCGCGCGACCCCTACTGGCCGGCGCGGGAGTGACGCCAGGAAGGGGGCGGGCCCGCGGCAGGCGTGGGGAGCCACTGGCCAGCACCGTTAGGGCGGCCTGGCGCGCGGCGCCCCCTCGGCGCCCCGGGGAAGCTGTGTGTGGTCCTCGGCTGTCGCCCCAGCCTCGCTGGTACCCGAGGGCTGAGAACAGCGCGCGTCCTAAGTGGCTGGCAGCGACGTTGGCCCC